ATACAATCTTAGATTGAAGCTTTAATAAAATGTTTTAATGTCATTTATTGAGAAAAAAAAAATGCAAAAACTAAGCGATAGTAATGTTTTAAAAGTAATCATAGTTTTAACCGAAAATCTGATTTTAAATGTTAAAGGGACTGTTCACTTATTTGGATAAATTGAGGGTAATCTAAATAGCATATTAGCTATTTATTGGTATTAGTCTTACTTTTCAAAGACAATTGTCGCCGGAGAAAAAGACAATGTTTCGTTTAGAATTCCAGCGGAAAGGTATTACCTTTGCATTTACAATATTTGATCTTTTTTTGTCATGGATTAAAACAATTTCAAATAAATAATCAAACTGTAACATCTAATAGTTAATTGTAAATATCTTTAATTTTGTTTAAGTTATTAAAAAAATGTCTATTTTCAAAATATAACTTATTTAAAACATTTGACAGATTGATACAGTTCCCTACTTCCCCAGAAATCTCCGAGTTCGAATCTAGGAACCGGTTTGACAAGAAAGAATGTGTCTTTTCAATACGTGTTAAAGCATATTTAAACAAGAAAAATTTGAATTTATTGCTTATTCTAAATCAAGACTTTTCATATTTTATTATATAATGGCTGACACATGATGGCATTGAAATATGATAATTTGAGATTTGACTGGGCTGTTGTTACTGAAAAACGTTTAAACAGTGTCAATGCGCTGAAATTCTAAACGATAAATCGGCCATTTCTCTGGCCATAGATATCTTTGAAAAGTAAGACTAATAACAATGAATAGCTAATAGGCTAATTGTTTACTATGAAATTACTTACAGTTGTCCACAGCCAGTAAATGGATTGGTGTCCAGACTGGTGTTCACGGGTTCGATTCCCGTACTCCACACAAACCTATGGTTTCAAAAACATCTGAAGCCGACATCTGGTTAAGCAGTTATAACCAACTAACGGATGTAGGAGGACAGAGGGGCGGCTGTCAACAACTCTTGCATTAAATGAGTGCTTGATTTCTACTCATCAAGAAAGAAGCTTTATATGGATTGATCCAAGTGAATGATGATGAAGAGAGGAATGGTGGACAAGCAGGGAGAGTCTATGGTTGCCAGTTAAAGGTACCTGGGGGTATCCAATCCGGGCTTACAAACAATAGGGAGTAATGAGTGTGATGCTTTCTATCTGAATGGCACCAGACCCCAATCCAGTGTATCAGAAACTCTTAGTCAGCTGGAATCTTGTCAACCCTCTTCTCAGTATTAATGAAGCGAAGATGGATGAATGTGCTGCCAGATTACAACCCCTGGTAGATCAATATAAACCCATACAACACCAAACTTTTGCAATAGAAAAATTCCGAGATTTGATCGCAACAACGCGATCATGTCCTGGGGACAAAAAAATCTCTTTTAAAAAGAAATTCAAAGTATTTTCAAAAATTTAAGTGTTCAGCTTTTTTAACTTTTTATTTATCAATTTAAAGAAAAAAGTAAAAGCATCAAACTTCTTGATAAATTGCTTGAATTGCGTTCTAAAGAGATAAATATTAAGAGAACAGTGTTGAAGATTACATTTAATATAAACAAACAATAAATTTCTAATTGTGCATTGTGCATTGTATCTTATCATGATTATAAGAAAAGAAGGAAAATTTTTCTCTTTTGATTATTATTATGTTCTAAAGTTTTAAAGTGAAAAGTTTACTTCAGCTCCAGGGAGATCTGAACCTGGATTCTTTCTACTCAAGAGAATTTAAACTTCTTCAACATATCATATATTTACATATAATATACTGAAACCATAGTATGCATACCTATACTTTCTATTCAAGAGAATTTAAACTTCTTCAACATATCATATATTTACATATAATATACTGAAACCATAGTATGCATACCTATACTTTCTACTCAAGAGAATTTAAACTTCTTCAACATATCATTGTCAACCATTAACTACATGACCGATTNAAACCAAATAATTTTTGCACCATTTTCTTTGTTCTCCGGTAACGGAGTCTAAACACTTTTATTATTGTGAACAAAATATTTTCATATAAAGAATTAGTGAATTTTGTTAACAATTAATTGTCATTCTTTTCAGAAGTTTTAATATATAAAAACGTCTTAGGACCAGATCTTCCTGTTAAAAACCCGGAGAAGAACCAAGGAAACAGGAATAGAACCAGGAGGGGAACAAAAACTCCGGAAGGAAATTGGGAGGGAACACCGGAAAATTAGGAGGTGAAGCAGAAGAAACATCAATTTCTTCTAGAAGAAATCAGGAGGAGCTTCAGAGAGAAATCGGGAAGAGAAACAGAAGGAGAACCAAACCCTGAAACCTAACCTGAACCTCATGTCAACCCCAACCTCTGTAAGATCTGACCCTACATTTACTCCAGTTACTCTGACCAGTCCAGAATCCCAGAACTATTCCAACTGTCCCTTCTAATCAGGAAATCTAGCTCCAGCTCCGAGTTACAGACCAGAGCCTGCTCAGGATGAGTTCCACGCAGATCACACCAAAAATGACAAACAGATTTGTATTCTAAGCTCAAACTAGAACTTCACCCAAGATCAAACACAGGATTCCAATTTTAAAGGAAAAAAAAAACATTTTAATCCTATAAACACACAAACCCAGCTTTCTGAATCTTCCCCCCCCCAAAAAAAAAAAATTAAATGTGTAGTTATCCGAGCTGACCGGACGTGTCTTTGTGAGCTCCCGGATTAAACTGACCGACATCCCAACACCGGGTTAACTTATTCACATGCTCCAATATACTTACATATAATATACAGAAACAATAGTATGCATACCTATTAGGGTTTCCACGAAATAGTCAATTCTCTTGCGCAGCAGTTGCAAGGGTTTTCACGAAATGATGTTTTTTGCACGAAATTCCGCATCATTTTCGTATCAATATGAAACCAGTTTCGCACGAAATTGCGCATTCATTCGAAATTAATAATTTTTTTCATGCGAAATTTTGGATGAATACAAAATTTAAGTCAGAACTTTTTCATGATATTGCACAGATCATTTTCGCATATAATTTTTAGCTAACCGTGAATGATTAGTTGTCAGAATGTGCCCCGCCTTAAAAGAGGTTGTCCCAAAGTACTAAAGCTATGTTTAAGGTTCATTATTTAGATTTTACAGAGATTTCAAAACTTTACCTAAATTATACCAAGGAGCTTTTTTATAGATGTTTGACTTGTGTGCTTTTTGTATGATCCTTTTATCCTATAAATGTCAAAAAGACTTAACCATTGATCTCACGGATTTATTTTATTCCTTGTTAATATCCCGGATACGAAGGTAAGTCGTTTTTGATTTTTGACGATCGTTAACGACCGCTAACGACCATAAACATCCATACCGTGCAGAGATAAATTAAATTGAGAGATGAAGCTTTCATCCTCAAATATAAAGGTGCCCACATTGGGTATCAAGATCAAGAATTAAAGAACATCAGGTCTAATTATCTTGTAGGACCCCAGCACATTTATTTTTTCACTAGAGGGAGAGTTTTTATTTGGTGTACCCCTGGTTTTGCCATGTATAGTCTGTATGTATGCTGTAGGTAGAATTTTCTATTGCTGCCTAAAAAGCAGTCTATAGCACTTCAAATGAGCTATGAGTTTCAATCTCACACCGGACTAACCAGATTTAGAGGAGTTCGGTTTCTTCTATTTAAAATCCTACGCGTTTTGGTCTATAATTAAACAATCTTTAAACGTACGGATTTGTTTATTTTATATTTTTCATTCAAAATGTATATGCTGGCAAAAAAGTATTTAAGAAAAAAAGCAAAAAAATTATGTTTAATAGGAGAAATTGTAATCGAAACTCACAACTTTCTGGAATATTGACAGAACCATTAAATCTACGTGCCCCCCCCCCCCCGTCCTCAATAAATCTAAAATTATTTTCAAAATATCCGACTGGTGATAACAAACAAAGTTTTTTTCTATTGCATTATTTATTTCAAAAAGTTTACAGCAATAAAAATCTAAGAAAATTAGCAAAATGGGGCTTGACTGTGAAGCACCCTGTAAACATATTTAATTTTATATATACGAAGATAATTTATATTTATATTAACCCCCCCGCCCTGCAATCTTATAAAAAATGTTGCTTAAAAAGATCTATTTACCCCCCTAACCCTACTAAAATAACAGTTTCTTTTACCTTTAACCCTGTAAAGACTTGGGGTCTGAAACTATTTATTGCTAAAAAGTTCTATTTAATACACCATTTCTTTTAATAAACACTATAAAATAAAATATTATTGTTTGAACTTTATACATTAACATTATACTTATCTTATCATATTATTCTAATGAAGAGAGAATTATTTTTTATTTCCTGCTATTATTCTTTAACAATGTGCATATTTCAAATATGCCGAGTACAGAAAAAAAACAAGAAAAAAGAAGAAAAACGAAAATTAAACAGGAAAAATGGTTTGGAACTCCAATGATAAGCTCTACAGGGGGAGACGTCCATTCCCCCCTCCATTTTACCTCCATTTAAAAAAATATATCTATGTATGTGTTGAAGATTAGTCATCACTGTATTAACCTTCAATCAGGTTTTCAAGTCAGGTATTCTTGAATTAGGCAACTGAAAACTAATACAAATGGAGCAGAGTGTCCCAATGAATATTGGTTTCGCCAAATTTTTATTTTATTTCTATTTATAAGATTAGATAAATTAATGGATTACTAGCCTTAGAGGGCGCTTCGCGCCCATCTTCTAAATTATTTGTGAACATGTTCTCTTTGTGTACATCGTAAAACAAAACAAAAATAATTCGCGGATTTTCACAAAAAATTTCGCGGATTTTCAAAGGCTGAACCCTGATTGGATCAGGCGCTATGAATGGACTTGGTATACTATTCCTTCTATTCATTTTTTCCTGTTCTACGGTTTTTACTTGTACACTTTTTAATTTTCAATAATATCCAAGTACGGAAAAAAATTACTATTCGAATAAAATACAATTTTTAAATCTTGACTGCCAATTTTATTTGATATTAAACAGTTGATAGATTAGATGAAAAAAACCATGAATTAATGAATTTTAATAATATTTTTGGAGGATTGATCTGCATTCTATTCTCTCCAGCTGATCATTTGCTGATCTTAATGCACTTCATCTCCCATGGGTTGACACCTTTTGTACCCTTAAGGGGCTTGGCACCCTTGAAAATTCCGCATGTTCGACAAGCTAGTTCACATTTGAATCCAGGACCGCACTTGTTTATAACCTCGCCTTTCGATCCCTTTACAACCCGACCTTGTTCATCAACCCTGTAGCAAGCTCCTGGTTTCAGACCTTTTATCATTTTAGCACGGGTTTTAGCTTGGTTCTTCGCCAGTTCTTTTAGAGCTTTGGCTTCTCTGATCTCTTCGCTGAAAAATAAATGATTAAAATGTGTGTGGAATTAGTTTTAAAAGGGGGGAGGCACGATTCACAAGGACGCCTTTGAAACCTTAATCTGATAAGCAATGTGGGAGTCGTTCTTAAAACTTCAAAATGTTTAAGTCTGTTAATTTCTCCATTTTTTTCTGAAGCAAAAAATGTGTAAGCTGAGGCTCTCCAATGAAAATATGGGTGTCTCCAACGAGAATCTGGGGGTCTCCAATAAGACAAGCCCTCCAATGAAAGGGGGTCTCCAATAGTTTTCCAATAATGATGATTTCTTCCTGGTCCGACTCCGGTTTTTGGACTTTCGAAAGGTTCGAAAAAAGGGTTGAGGATTAGGTTTTCCACAGAAAGTGAAATCTCGCAATTTCTCGGGAAGAAAAGTTTGACGCAAACTACGACTTCAAAGTTACTTACCGATCCTGTTCAGCCCAAAAATCCTCAGCATCAAAATAGTCAGTTCCTTTTTCTTCGTCAGAAGGACCAGTATTAATGCGCATTGAGTCTAAAGAATTTGGCCTACTCGGATTAAATTTTCTTGTTTTGTCATTTTCATTGGAACGTTTTTTATCAGAAGGGCACTTAATCTTGTAAAATATCTCCTCGGGTTGTTTTTCCAGCCAGTTGGCTAATTCTTCATCTGATATTTCTCTGGGTACATTTTCAAAGCTTAATTTTGTTTCCACAACTCTGGCCACGTAGTAACAAGGATCTATAAATAATGTTATCAATTATACTGTGTATGGAAGGTATAGTTTACATACCAGTGTTCTGAATGTTTCCACCAGCTTGTTCCCTGTCATCATCATCTATAATGTTGATTTCTTCCCAACTAGGCTTCATGTTTTCCCTAACACAACACTTTGATATAACTAATATATACCTAGAGTGTTGAGAATTATGAGATTGATCAGAGATAGTCATTATCAAGGTACCAATGCAAGGAAAGTTATTTTTTTTAGAGGTGTGCACATTTTTTTTACTGCAGTGTACTGTCTTTGGGCGCAAAAGTAAACACAATACGTATGTCACAGCATGACATGGATCCATTTTCACAAAAATAATCTATGAAATATTCTGGTCATAGGACACTGTTGTGTGAATTTTTAAAATTATCAAAATTAAATGCTTTTAACATCCTCGGATACTAAACGAACACTGATGCTTCTATTCTTGTTCACAAAGTCAGCCCAGAGAGAACTAGTTTCAAATTTCAATGTGTACGCAGAGAATACACGACCACAATTAACTTTCCTTGCATTAGTACTTCGGTCATTATTATCACTAATGAAGAGATCATTTATCTTTAAGGAACTTGTGTTCACCAAAATTTCGACCTGAGCTTAATTATACATCAGGTAATCTGTTTTCCTTTGCTAAGCAAACTTTTCGGTTATAATTTATTAAGTTGAGGTTTTCCATCCGTAGAAATGAAAGAAGTTATTGTTAAATCCGCCAAAAACTGTTAGCGCCGGCTTAAATCTTGAAACATTGAATACAATTTTAAGTGTAACCAACAATATTTAAGCTGCGACTCAAATTTAAGCCGCAGCTCAAATTCTTTAAATTTGGCCTCTGAAAGGTTAAGTTCTGTTATCCTGTGTTTTAGTTTTAGTTAAATTTATCTCAGTGGTACTAATTGACCAACCCTAGCAGAAATACTACGATTTAGAGTTACCATCAAAGAATGAGACTGTTTAGACGACCTAAATCTCTTTGAATTTGACAATTCTGGGATTTAATTAAATCTTCTGTCTCAAATGTAATCCTGTAATGGTAACCCTGCACATTCTTGTCTATTTACATTGTATATAATATGGGAATTGATTAGGCTGTCATAAATAATACATGTACCTAGATGATCTAGATAATTGATTCATCATCACCGTAGAGGCACAGCTAGCAAGCAACTGAATTATTTAACTTATATTATACAGAGTGTCCCAATAAACATGGGAATTCAGTGACGAATTCGATATCGTCATTGTTATAAATTAGCATTGTAATACCTAATTTCAAGAGCCATAATATTATTATGTCTGTTAAAGTTTATTTTATGAAAACGGTAAATGGTTGTAAGATGTGTCTGTAATGTCTCCGCAAGATGAACAGTGAAGACTTACTCTGTTTGTGTACTATAGTTTCCTTGTTTTACTAAGTACAACCGTCTGCAGTTAAACATAAACAAACAAATTGTGAACATAGCAGACGAAAATCTTACTGATTACAGCTTTCTTAGTAGATATCTTTATACTAAATCAAAAAATTATTTAAAAAGACGATATCGAATTCGTCACTGAATTCCCATGATTATTGGGAAACCATTGCATTAGATATTAGATATTTCTGAGGTTAAAGAGACAAGACGCCTAATTTTGAAGGGACACTCACGCAAAGAGTGGGATTCCCAATTTGAATTGACACCCTTTAAGCTTTTCGCTGATTCTCAACGGCATAGAATATTGTGAAGAGTACACTTGTTGCACATATATCTAACTTCTACTTTATTCCGTGTAGTGTCGTCTTTACCAACCTTTCCCCCTTATTTCAAAGAAGTTCAAACCAAAGAATACTCCGGCAATACCTCCGTATCTGATAAAATGGAACATGGAGCAGTGAAACGTTTTAACTAGAATAACTTAGAATACGTGAATAACTCTGCAATCCATAGCAACTTTATACCTATCAATTATTTTTGTAAAACTGTATTTTATTAATGAAATATATTCATATATTTGCAACTAGTGTCTGTGATTGAAAGCAGTCCCTGATCTTTATTTATACACAATTCAACCGAAATTTGTTTTAACAACACTACTGTTGAGTGTGAACTTAAGGCAGGTAGAGTTCCATAAATTCCTTAAATGTATGTCTAGCATAGTTTTTAAAACTTCTAATAAAATATTTATATTCTCCGACTTTATTAAAAATTAATATCTAAATTTCTGTTGAAGAAGGATAAAAGAATTATCTCTGGTTAGTTTTTTTAAATACTGAAACCTACCAATACAAGTAGAAACATAATGTGATCAGATTAAAGATTTGACTTCCACTGATTTACAGTTATCCCTGCTTAAGTAGTATTCATTGCACGTGATGGGTAATAAAAAGTTAATTTGAAGTTATTACTTCAGTTGTAAATTATTTATACTTAACCTTTGATCCAGCAGTTACAGTTTAAAGTTCATTTATTAATAAATTAATTATTATTCAACAAAAACTTTATGTGTGTTCTAAACAATAGCTAACTTCAAACATCAATTAAATTGGAGAGAAGATAATCATAAAATTAAGAACCATCAAAGAATTTTTAGGGTGGTCTTCAAAAAATATTTAAGTGTTAGTTTAAAACAAAATATTAATTTCTTTTTTAAACTAATAATGCATGGACCCATCAAGAAAAAGAAACATTCCATGATACATTCTGAGGAAATGTGTGCATTTGCAAGCCTGTCAAAGTCTTTTCTTGCTTGAATGCCCAGCTACCAGCTAAATTGATAGAATTTGTAGGACCACTAATTTTATCCTAGGAACATATGATTTAGTTTATTGAAAATTTAAACAAAAATTCTTATTCATTTTTTTAAAGATAACTTGACTAAGGCTTAAATACTATTTCTTTATGGATTTGATTTTAGTCTAAAGTCAGTGTTGATAAAGTAGCCAAATTTTAAGCTTACTTGCAAGCATTTTTTACAAGAAGTTTTGAGGCCTTTATAAAATCTTAACATGGTCTCTCCTTTGATAAACTATAAACAATTATTAGCTTTACAACCACAATTTGTAATGCAGCTTTACCCTTAGGGCAATTTGAATGATTTGATAAATGGTAATTTCAAAAAATTTAAATGTACTTTTATACGTTACAGCCTTGGAATTTTTTTTTTCAAAGCTCACTGTATCTATTCAGAGGCCGAAAAAGAATTTGAGCAACGGCTCAAATATGGCTGATTCCGCATAATATTGTATTAAAACCTATTTTTGTTTTGAAATTTGTATTTAAAATTTATTTTTACCATTAATTTAACATTCATTTACACATTTCTCTTGTCTCATTCTTTGGTTGTGTGTTTGGACTTGAAATTTTCACTTTAAAAATCTCTTTATATTTTATTTTTTTAGGGGTCATGATAAAAAGTCGACATTTATTACATTTAAAAATGTATCAACTTAACCAAAAAACGAAACACAAATTTTAGAAAGACTTTCAGGGTAACAGTTAACTTAACCCTATAAAGGCTAGGGGGTCTGAATCTATGCATTGCCTAAAAAAAAGGCCGTAGAGAATAGGTATAGGGTTAAAATGCATATACTGGTAACTAAGATAAAATAATAGACCAATAACTTTAAGTTTGGGCGCTAAGGAAGGTTGAAAAAAAGGCCCAAAAAAAAAACAGATCTCAAATTTTGACACATGTTCCTACATCCATTTTTAAGGGCTTTTCAAAAATATAATTTTTAAATCTGTAGCTTTAGTCAATAAAGTTGTGGGCCATTTCATATTTTATTACACAGACCTACCTTTTTACCGCCCTGTACCCTGCCCTATGTATTAGAAAAAAAATTTGACAAAAAAAATCCTTTAAATTACTATTCATTAAACGTCGCAACATTTCACGGTGATAGTGACAAGAATTAAAGGGAAAGGACAAAAAAAAACGATAGGGCCGGCCCAACCTGTTGAGGGGTAAAAGCTAAAATAGTAAATGGGAGACCGGAGAAGCCTAGTTTTTATTAAACTTCTTTAAATAAATTTGTAAAAAATTCTCTACAGATTGACCCCGAGAAATAAAACATATTCAAATGACTTTTTTAAATGACAAGTTTATGATGTACATGGGGTTGTACAATTTTCAGCTGTACAGTCTGCACTAGCGATCTATTTCCTTGTATATCTATGACAGTTCCTCATGAAAAAATGAAAAATCTAAAACCAAATAAAACCCAAACCTACTTATCTCGTCTTTCACTTGCATCCAAGCATTTAGATTTTACTCTAAATATTAGCAATTAGAAACTATGCAAAATTTCCACCACAATTCCATCTTTATATCATTTATCTTAAATATATCCAATTGTGTCAGCATATAATTTAAAGAGATAAAAAGAATGAATAATGGAAACTGTAGCAGAATATATAGAAGGAAGGAGGGGGTGCTTATACATGCTTATACACTGGGAGAGGGGGTCCAGAGTCCACACCACCCCCTCCCCTAGTGAATTGTTAAAGTGCACTTTTAAAGTTTAAAGGTAGTGACCGGCTATGTAAGGTAGTTGAACTGAGTATGCATTAGTTTTTTTTAAATTATTAAATAAGGACAACGAAAAATAAAGTAAAAATTACACAGTAATCTAATTAGATGGCTAGGAACATATTTCACAAAAGAAATTTGTCAAAAAATCAATGTTAAAAAATCGATTATTTCGTTTTCATTATAATATTGAATTTCTAATTTTCTTTGAATTTATTCGCAGATTTCTTCAAATTCTTCAAATGTCGTCTTTTCAATAATAACTATAGAAAATCTGCGAACATCTTTGTGAATAACGAGAAACGAGAATAATGAGATAATAGAAACTAATAATTGAACAAGATTACTTATTTTCGATGATAAGATTAATTTTTATTTTCTCAAAATGTTCCTAAACATGACGTCTGTAGTTTATTGTAGACCCCCCCCCCTAACCCCTCTAAAATACTTTTTCTTCTAAGTTCCAGCAAAATCTGCAAAAATAAAGATATAGATGTTTAAAATATTTTTATTTATTGCAGTTTAAATAAGAAAATACTTTGATTCTAAACCAGGTTTTATAAATATCAAACTGCACCTAGTCTACAATAATTACATTTCTATCAACCCCTTTTTGCTAAAGGTTAAGAGGATATAGTTGCTTTTTTATGTCAATTGTAAAATGTTTATCTGTACCAGTGCGGACTGCTAAAAATCGGCATTTTTAAACCATTTAATTTTCAAATTGGTGAATTAATTGATCTTCTCATCACTATGGTTAGATTCAAGATAGCAATGGTTGGAGCTCCAGCTATATCCAAGTTCCTGGTTGAGCTCCAGGTTTATAAATCTACCGGAGATGTGAAGGGTGCCAGGAAGATGTATGAAGGATACAGCGAGGTATCTAGAGAAGGGAAGAAACCTTGGTTGCTCTGGGGGGATATTGTTATTGCAAGGAAGAAACCCAGGCCTATTCTTGTTCTGGGTAACACAGTGCTTGAGAATAAAACTATGAATCTGGTTCAGTATGATCCAGTTGGTATGCTGTAAAGCTGGAGGGAAAGGTTTCCAGAAACTGATGAGTTGGATAATGTTCTGGCCAGTTTTGGAGCACGCGAGGAGAAATATTGGTCCTGTTAATATTCCTATCAGCTGTCATGGAACTATCCACTCACCACATATTCAGATCAGCTCACTTTTTAGTCCTACCAACCCACTCCATATTTTATTTAACATAAAATGTCCAAGAAGCAAGTAATCAGCTGTGAAATCTGCCATTTCTTTATATTTTTTTCTGGGATTTATGCTGGGGATTTTTTTGTATAAGAAGAAAATAAAATTGTACACAAATTAATAATCTAAAATTAACGATAAGAAATGTTTAGATTACTCAGAAATTTCGATTCTTCGTTTAGTCTAATTAAGTTAATCCGATTTTTTTATTTAATCTAAACAAGTTAATCCGATTATTTGTTTAATCTAAACAGATTAATCTGATTCTTTGTTTAATTTAAACAAGTTAATCCAATTATTCATTTTATCTAAACAAGTTAATCCGATTCTTCATTTAACCTAAAAAGTCAATCCGATTTTCACTTAATATAAATAAGTTCTTTGTTTGATCTAAACAAGTTAATCCAATTCTTCATTTAATCTAAACAAGCTAATCCGATTCTTCGTCTGAACTGTCGTCTTCCTCTAACCACTCCAGGAAAGGTTGAATTTTCTTCTTTAGGTTGGTATTCTGAGTTCAAATAGGAATCAATCAATCATTAGATTCTACAGGGTGTCCCAAAAACGACAATTTTAAGACTAAAATAATCAAGCTCTTCACACATAGATATAGCTGGCCAAACTGCTGAACCAAATTGGCTAAAATTCTTTAGGAAACCCATGAGTACCCTGGGGGTAACATAGGCTTAAATTTTTTTTTCACAAATCAATTTCTTTTTAAAATATATTTTCTTTAATAACATTTTTTTTCAAAAATAATTTTTTTTTCAAAATTAGATCTTTTTAAATTCCGCGAGCAACGCCGGGCACTTGAGCTAGTATTGAATATGGATAAACAAAACGAAATTTTAAACTGCTTCAAAAAATAATTTCTAGAGAATAAAGATCTGTTCACTGATTTGAAAAAGGGTACTTTTAGATCAAATGTATAATTGAATATACCCTGCTTGGTCAAATTGAAATATTAAATGGGCGCACTGTAGTTGAATTAGAATTGAAAAAAACTAAACTAAAATGAACATTGAAAAATAGCTGCTTTTTTCATTTCACAATTGAAGAGTTGAGTTTACTGGCAACAGTACTTTTAATACATTAAAAAATTCTTAATTATATTGCAATATTTTTCTTTAATGTTGTATCCTTCAAAAAGGACTTAAACCATTTTCTTGGGCATTTTCAAACTTTTAAAAAATCAAATACTATTGAGCACAAATTTTTGTAATTTTGAGCATACATTTCTTGGGGAGGTCCCACACAAAATTTGGGCTTAATCGGTTCAGCCGTTTTGACTTTTATTGAATACAAACAGACAGACAGACAGGCAAGCAAAGTATATATGTAGATGACTTAGCTAGTCAGTTTGTTTGATTGTTTGCGTGTTTCTTATTTTTTTTATCCAAATACGTTAAAATGGCAGAACCGGTCTGGCCCATTTTTTATGGTGGCACCCTACATGACGCCAGGAAAAAAATTGCCTTAAAGTTCTGATTTTTCAAAATCCACGAAAAAAAGAACAATAAATCGGCGAAAATCTTTTTGTTATTTTTGCTAATTTGAAATGAGAAAATACCGAAGAAAAACAACATTTAAAAGTTAAAATCGAAGTTAAAAACTGCAAGTACTTGCTTTAATGCAAATAAGGATTGAACGGGTTCTGGGTTTGAAATATGATAATAAAAATAACATATATCATCGAACGGGGGGAAGGGGGGTGGCTTGAATTGTTAAATATGGAACATAATGGGGTGGATCCTTTTTAAAGATGGAAACATGTAAATTCTACAGGGCAGTGCACTTTCCCTAAACCCCTGATAAAAACGTATTGATTGATTGATTGTTCTAATCCCTGAAGATTGTTAGACCAGGCTAGAATACTATCTTCACCAAGTATATCCAACTCATACAGCAGATGGAGAACCTCAAATTAAAAACATTAAAAATAATAATAATGATCTTAGAAGAAAGAAGAAGACTGTTATAATGGAAAATAAAGATTACTCTAACAAAAGAAAGTTAAAGAATTAAATTTTTTTTTTAATCAATAAAATGACCCCTGTCCCCTGGTTAACCGTTTGTTAACCTTCCTTCCTGGTCAATATGCATCATTCATTCATTAAGAACAATTTATGCAGGGGGATTCAATATACATTATTAATTCTTTAGGGATTTTTCCCCTTTAAGTGGAGGCCTTTGAAATTACGTGTACAGACCCTATAATGAAAGCAATACCTTTGCAATAATCTCAATTAGATTTGGAAATCGAACCAAAATATCCTCCACACCGGTCAGATAGTAATCCTGCCCTGACTATAGTAGGACACCATTTTTCATAAAAGAAAATTATCTTTTTTATTTTTCCTTCTCACCCTCCTCTATTTAGTATTCACCTTAACCCCCCCCCCTCCCAATTTACAAAAAAAATCAAATAACAGAAAACATAAACGCTTCTTATAATTTTGATTAGGCAGTTTATCTTCTAAACATGATGTTAATAATGATATTTTTGTGCTTTGAAAACAAGTTAATTATATTATTGAAATTTTTTTTTTTTTCAATTTATTTTTATTTTCTGTAATATTGCAGAACTTATTGAAAATTAAAGATGAAATATAATCAATCACAAATTTTCATGTTGATTAAGTTGTAATAAAAACTGGTTCCCAGCTAAATTTCCAGACAAAATCAAAAAAAAATCAAAATGGCCGTTTCCTTTGATTTCGAATACTTGAGAAGTAGCTGCTTGAATTTATTGATGTTCACCTAATACAGAAATTTTGGTGTTATGGAAACACCTCAACAAATAAATATCTCAAAAAATGATAATAAAAAAATTCAATGTCGTCTTTTTTAAGTTAAAAAAATAAATAATTAATTTCATTGTATATTAATTTAGGTTAGGTTGCGCCGCATGCTTCAAAGGGGGGCCGAGCGCTGCGGCAATGGCTGTGAAAATCGTTGGGATATAATATTTTTTTATTTTAAGTTGAGATAGAACGACCTTAAATTAGTTAAATGAGTCACTTTTTTGAGGCGTTTTCGTGATGAGTCGTTTCCATAGCACCAAAATATTAGATCTCATTAAGATTGCGCAAGGCATATCATGATTGCGCAATGCATATCATGATTGCGCAATGCCTATCATGATTGCGCAATGCCTATCACGATTGCGCAATGCATATCATGATTGCGCAATGCATATCATGATTGCACAATGCATATCATGATTGCGCAATGCATATTATGATAAACAAAGCACACTTTATTTGTGCCATGCACATCATGATTGTACACTGCGCATGATGAATGCACAATGGGCATTATTATTATTATTATTAAAGGACAACCCATCATTCAATGAAATAGGGGTCGGTGCTCTTAGCCGCCGAAACGTATCCATGGACAGTCATAAGATTTCTTAAATGTATGAAAGCGTTCAATTTTATTTAAGACTTTATTGACAACGTAAAACTCTTTAATGGTTACAATCTTAGGCTTAAAATGAAATATTTAAAGGCGAAATCAAAGAAAATTCTTGGTGTATTCTCTACTTCTTCTAAAATTAAAATAAAATAATAATAAAATAATAATAATAACCTTGACAGCTTGTAGTAGTTTGGCAGGTGGTAGGTCAATATCTAGCTCAAGGGTCAGCACACACTCCAGTACACATTGGTTTACCTCGCACAAAGTCGTATTCCTACAGACAAAAATAATAACAGGGGGCCTAAAAACAACGTGCTATTCAACTCTTTTTTTGGACATTTGTTTTAGTAAATCAAAAACAAACCAAACTTTTAAGGACACCTTCCACATTTCAATCTTGACTTAGTCAAGAGGGAAACAAGGCCTTATAGCTTTAGATTGCATGGCACAATTATGTCAAAACTCAATCAATCATGTATGTAGCAGTTCTTTTTTGATTACGGTTTATGGTACTATCATTAGAAGTTTAATACACTAATTACAATATTTAGGATTAAAAATTACGATGGATAATTTTTCAAAAAATGTACCCGTCCCAACCTCGATCTATTAAAAATAAAATAAAAAATGTAAAAGGTTTAAAAATATACAAACCAAGCATGCTTTGAGCTGTTAATCTCCAGAACCAAGTTATCAGTGATAACTCCTTCCTTGCTTCCTCGCAGCAAACTCTCTCTTACCTCCCTCCTGTATCAATCAACCAATCAATTAAGTTGTAAGTAAACCTACTTCCTTGCACCCAATATTAATCCATCAATTTATCAATCTATAACCTTCATTAAATCAATCAATTATTTAAATCAAGCAATTAAACATCAATTCATATCAATAAATCACCACTAAATGAATCAATTCTTTAAATCAAGCAATTAAACTCACTTTATATCAATAAATCACTAGTCAATCAACCAATTCTTTAAATCAAGCAATAAACATCACTTTATATCAATAAATCACTAGTCAATCAATCAATTCTTTAAATCAAGCAATAAACATCCCTTTATTTCAATAAATCACTAGTAAACCAATCATTTCTTTAAATAAAGGAATAAAACTCACTTTATATCAATTATGCAATGATTTGACTAAATAATGAGGAATCAAAAAGCACATAAGGACACAATGAGCAAGCACATTAAGAAAACAAATGAGAAAACATATTGCGGACACACTTTGAGGACACGAATTGAGGACATGCAATGAGAAAACACACAAGGAAACACATGGAGGGCGCACATTAAAGATGCACAAGCGTATGACCAGAAGTGACACAAAGTTTCCTACAATCCTAAAAATAGGAAAGATGAAAGTGAAACTAACCTGAAGTTTTTGACATCATGATGTTCAGCAATACCATCCTGCTCCTCCTCAAGTTCTTCATCATCATCGTCATCCCAATCCCCGTCACCATCCTCATCATCCTCATCATTATCACTCTCACTGCTAGACTCATAAATACGGCCCCACTTATCCTCAACGCAGTTCTAGAACATCATTAATCAGATCAGATCAAATCGAATAAATAAAAATCAAGAGTTTCCTGGATGTCCTACTTCCATTTTACAAAAATGAAATTACTTTACTAAAACATGGTCGGGATTATCAGTATTAGAAGAACTAAAAAGAGGGAGATACCCTTTGTTTTCATTATGTATTAAAATATTTAAAGATTGATGGTTCAATAGATATTCGATACAGCATTTAAGATTTGGAATTTATTAAATGTTGTCTTCTATCTAACAAAATCTCTCCATGAAGAACTTGGTAAATATACATGCAGAGTGAATCTTTTAAATTGCATATGCAAAAAAACTATTTGTTAACAGTTCTACTACTCCTGCGTGAATACAAAAAATTCAGAACGCTCATCACAAACCTCCTCTTCATCATTATCCTCTTCCTCCTCCTCCTCTTCATCTGTGTAAACATGTGCTTTAGGACCATATTCTCCCTTCTCCTCATCTCCTTCTGTCTCATCATCAGAGAAACCATCTGATCTCTTCTCAGCGGATAGCCTAGAGATAAAGCAATCAATGAATGAATAATCAATCTATAGACCAATCGATCAATTAATGAATGAATCAATCCATACTAAATCCGAAAATTTAGCATCAGAATACCCATCCGAGCTCTTCTCCGCAGATAAACTAGAGACAAATCAATCAATCAACTAATATTTAATCAAACGATGTAGCATCAGAGAACCCATCTGATCTCTTCTCTGCGAATAGCCTAGAAAAAAAATCAATGAATCAATCGACCAATCGGTCAATCACTCCAATCTCTTCTCTGTGGTCAGACGGAAAGCCTAGAGAAAATATAATCAATCAATTATTCAACTAATCAATCAATACTGATTGAATCAAAATGGTTTGTATTCAAAACAGACAAATCAGCATCATATCTCTCCAATCTACAATATTTTTTTTTTAAATCAATCAATCAATCAAACAGGAAGTTACTCGGCAAATGATAAAACTGATCTAACCTGACCCCTGAAGGTATACTGGCTCCTAGGTCTAGTTCTACTCCGTGTCCCAAGATGACCTTCTCAGCTATTGAGCAGTTGGCAGGTATTATAACATTTTCTCCAACTAGAGACAGGCTCGATTTATTTAGATTGGATTAGAGGGAGTTTTTTTTTTAATTTTACAGGGGGTATCAATGCTCTAGGAAAAGATAAGCACAATCTGAATCTTTATCAGAAAAAGAAAGAAAAAACGCATTTTTTAAAACGGTTTGAGAACTACCAAATCTAGGCATCAACAATCTCAAACTAAAGGTAAATACACCAGGAATCCAAATGTCATTGTTTACAAAATAAAGTGTACTGCATCCTTTTTTGGGAGCAATGTAAACAAACCCAATGCAACTCACTTCTATAATACAAACCGAACTGGCAGTGCACTAATATTGTAAGCAAACATGGGGGGGGGGGGTATTTTCTTTGCCTAAGAGTTAAAACAAAAATTCCATATATTTGTATTCAATTAATTTTTAATAGTTAGCAATTCCTTAAAATATGAAGAAAAAACATTAATCAAGTTCTTTGAATCGTTTCCTAAACAGTTTACAAGAACGCAGTTCTCTCCAACCTTGCAGTTCTTCATCAGAACAGAATCTAGAATAGAAGTTTTTTTTTTACAGTGAATTCTGGAAATAATTAGAAGGGAAACCTTTTACAGTATTTACATCATCTAAATTCTGGAAATAAAAGGAAACCTTTTTCAGTGCATTCTTGAAATAACTAGAAGGAAAACCTTTTACAGTACATTCTGGAAATAATTAAAGTGAAACCTTCTATCAGTGCATTCTGGAAACAACTAGAAGGAAAACCTTTTTACGTTATCTACATCTACATTCTGGAAATACTTTGAGTAAAAACTTATTTTTAGTGCATGCTGGAAATAATTAGAAGGAATACCTTTTTACAGTGCATTCTGAAAATCATTAGTAGGAAAACTTTTTACAGTGCATTCTGGGAATAATTAGAAGGAAAACTTTTTACAGTGCATTCTGGGAATTATTAATAAATATAATGATAAAGAAAATAGTAAAAGGGGAGCCTTGTAACAGTGCATTCTGTAAATTAATGGACAATTTTTGCACTGCAATCTGGGTTCAAAAGGAGAACTTATACACTGTTCTTAGGATTTAAAGGAGCATCTTTTTTACAGTACATTCTGGGTTCAAAAAAGGAAGCTTTCTACAATGTTCTTAGGATTCTGAATATCAAGAGGAACCTTGAACAGTGAATTCTGAATATCAAAGAAAGGATATAATTTGTTTAACAGCAGATTAAAGATATCAAGGGGCATATTGTTAGATTTAAAGGAACGTATCTTTTATCTTGTATTTTGAATTCTAAATTTGAAGAGGTATTTTAGTACATTGTACGATGACAAGTGCCTAACCAGAAACTTTTACTTAGTAGAACAGTTTAGCATGAATGAGGGCTCACCTGGCCCCTAATGAGCATGGGGCGACTAGTCACATCCATGTAAACAATGAATACCTGATATTGTTGAGTTTTTGGAGACCCTGACACCCTCTTCAAGATCTGAACCATGTATCTTTATACACTCCTCTAATACAACCCTAAAATAATACAATAATACAATAATACAGTAATACAAAAAATACGAAAATACGAAAATACAAAAGTACAAAAGTACAAAAGTACAAAAGTACAAAAGTACAAAAGTACACAAGTACAAAAGTACAGTACAAAACTACAAAAGTACAAAAGCACAAAAGCAAAAAATTACAAAAGTACAAAAGTACAAAAATACAAAAATACAAAATACAAAAATACAATAATACAATATATTCAAGATCTGAACCTTGTACCTCAATACACTCTTCTAATACAACTTTACAAAAATACAATAAAATATTAATACAGTAATACACTATTGTCAAGATCTGAACCTTGTATCTCAATACACTCTTCTAGTACAATAAAGCAATAAATAAATTGCTTTTGAGCAGTACAGTGCAATGTAAACGATTGTACTTTCCCATATATATCCTGTATTCTGTGATTTACTTATCCCTGCTTGTATTCTTTCTGCTTTAATGTCCATTTATTAGATCATGTTCTTGTTTTTATTTTATATATGATGTTTTATTTAATCCTTTTCTATTTATGCATTTAAATTTTGTATTTACCAGGGCTAATTTATGATGGTTGCAAACCTTTTAGTCCTCGTCACAATTGTAACAAATATTTCTTATATAAATTTGAAATGCAAAATATGCTATTCTTATTATTATTATTATTATTATAAGCTGTACAAGTGTTACCTGTTCCCTATAAAAGTATCCTTCCCTAGCAGAGTGCCCCTGGATACAGTTGCCCCTGAGCTCTTGTAAACACTCTTTGTTTGTACACAAATCTGGTCTCCTTGGGTAGACCGGTTTCTTCTTTACACATCAAGGGTATAAAAAAATTACTTTTAAGCTTTAAATGATCATGACTAGGGTTTCCATAGGAAGCAAATTTTCGTACAATTTTGCTTTGTAAATTCCGCAAATTTGTGGGCGGAATTCTGCAGTTTTTTGCGAAAATAAATTCCGCATGGCATGAATTTAACATTTAAAATGATTATTTTTTTTCTAATTTATTATGACATTTTTTCGTGTAATTTGCACTTATTTCTTTCGCGGAATTTGCGTCAAAATCAGTCCGCGCTATTTGCATATTTGGTTTACTCGTGAAGATGCGAAAAAATGCAGAATTTGCGGCGGAGTAAAAACTTACGCGCAACGATTTTTCCATTTAGCTGGAAACCCTGCTGGAAATCCTGCTAGATGACTATTTTTTATATTCTTTCCTTTCTGGAACCAGTGGATAAGCCCAGCGATTTAGAATCTGAAATTCAAACAAAATTGTTAAAAAAATTTTTTAACTACACCATTAATATATTTATATATATACAAGCCTTAGAGGGCGCTTCGCGCCCATCTTCTAAATTAGTTGTGAACATGTTCTCTTTGTGTACATCGTAAAACAAAACAAAAATAATTCGCAGATTTTCACAAAAAAATTCGCGGATTTTCAAAATCTTTAAAAATTCAATGACGATCGAATTTTGATGGACACAAATATTTAAAATTTCAATCATTCATAAACCTTCCCTAGGGTCCCTAGATGTCCCACAAAAAATTTGGACCCGATCGGTTCAGCCGTTTTGACGTTTATTGGATACAAACAAACAAACAGACAAACAGACAGACAAACACCAAGACAGACAAGCCAAATTTATATATAGATATGTGTGTCTCGATAAATCAATACATTTTTTTTATTGTAGGAAAAACTGATGGAATAAATATTGAATTGTTTTATATATCTCTTTAAATATTGGGTGAGCTTAACCTTTTCAAAAAGTTTCCTATAAAGGTACGGGTTTTCAGCTCTGCAGGCAAATCCTGTAACAGTCGTGTGTTATTAAAGGGACTGTGTGCGATTATATTACACTAATAAGATTTTTATAGGGAGTGACTCAAATCTATATCCTAAAGATGTTTGAAATGGTGATAATATTATTAAAGGATGTGGCCTGTATTAAAGACATAAAGTTGATACTGAGATAGTGTAATAAAAGGAAGAGACCTAGGAGGGTTGAAACTAGAAATGAAAGGAGTGTTATAGTTCTAAGTTGTTAAACTATTATTAAAGGGAGTGACCTCAACATGATAATAAGATGGTAAAACTATAAATAAAGGGAGTGACCTCAATATGATAATAAGATGTTAAAACTATAAACAAAGGGAGTGACCTCCATACGATATTAAGCAAGTAAAAAACTATGAATAAAGGGAGTGACCTGATTATGATATTAAGCAAGTAAAAAACTATGAATAAAGGGAGTGACCTGATTATGATATTTGGCAAGTAAAAAGCTATGAATAAAGGGAGTGACCTGAATCTAGAACCTGAAGATAAATTGTAGAATCCACAAGTTCACTCTCAAGTATCTCACTAATCATTGTATCCATATCTAGAAGAGATATTGGTCATTTATTATTAAACGTGCCATGGGCCCATTTGTCCCATAATAGTACCTGTGTCCCTACCTAATGATTACATGTATTTACGTGGACATGAGGAAAATTATTTTTTGTTAAAAAATTCAGTAAATCTTAAAGAAATTATCTGGACTCGAATACGGGTCCGGATCCGGGTTTGGATTTGGATCCGGATTGGGATCTGGATCCGGATTTGGATCCGGATCTATTTTTTTCCAGTGCGGAAACAGGATCCGGATCCGCATCCGCATCCGCATCAAAATTAAATGGATCCTAAGCACTGTTTTAAACCGGTTAAAGCAGTATACCAGTATTAATTTAAAACAATAAAAAGCATTATTTTAAACCAATAAAAAGCATTATTTTAAACCGATTATAACAGTGTACAGTTTATTGTACTTATTTAACCCAGTTAAAAGCATTATTTTGAACCGGTAGAAAGCAATCATCTTAAGCGAGTCATTGCAGATCTCTAAATTGGTTGAAACAATTTTTGTAACTGACTAAACGTAAAAAATATGTTCACAGAAACTCTTTAAATTGATTTGTAAAAAGTCCTTTAAACACTTATTGGTTATCTTGTCTGTTTTCTCTAGGGTCAACCATGATTTAAACCTATTTTTGTCTTAAAAATTTGTGATTTATTCTCTTGGACCAATGAATTCGCTGGGTATGTGAAATGCCCACCACCGGTTAAAATTTGAATCACCGATTTAAATCATTCGTTAATCATTCCTTATCTTTGAATTAGTGGTTAAATTTGTACCATCAGTAGGTTGTTCAGGGACATCGCTCAAATTGATATTTAACTGTTTATAGGCTAAACTGCGGTATGAATGCCCACTGTGTAAACAAAGTTTAGGTCCTAACAAAACCTGTTACTCTACTCATCTTCAGCTTCATTCTTCATCATCAGCTAAAGCTTGCCGGCTCTGCTACCAGGGAATTCATCAATTTATTCATTCACTTATTCATTTAATCTTTCATCCTTTTGTTTATTCATTTATTCTAGAAGAGATATATTTGTAAAAATGGGTAAAGCAAGTAACAAAGCTAGAGCTAAAAGGCATAAATTAACTAACAAATTGGGTAAATCAGGTTCAAATGGAAGAATGCTTAAATGTTTATATTGGAATGCTAATGGTATGCATTGTCTGTGTAAGCAGCAAGAATTGATCGATCTTATGGAAATCGAACAATTAGATGTAGTCATGGTTGATGAGACACATTTTAAAAGAGACTCAAACATAGATCTATCCGCGTTTGATGCTTATTCGCCAATTTTTATTGAACGAGGGTATGGGGAAAAGAATGGGGGGGGGAAAATGATTTTGCTTTCAAATAAATTTCCCTCAATTAAATGGTCGCCATCAAAAGATGATAACGAATGGATTAATAATGAAAGGGTTTGGATTTTGTTTCAAAACAGCACAGAAAGAATAGCAATTTGTAGTGTATATATGGCCTGTGAGTCACCAACTAACAATGAATTTAAAACATGGAATGATATGATTTATGCAGAGCTAAGTAAAGAATTACGAATTTTAGAAAATGATGGGTACAATTGTGTTATAGTGGGTGATTTCAACGCACATGTAGGGGTCCCTCCCCAAGGAATTGATGGTAATAGAGCTGGTGTAAATTATAATGGAAGAAAACTTTTGAGTTTTATTGATGCCAATAATTTAGTTATGGTTAATAAGGACATAAATCTATGTACAGGAACTTTTACGCGCATAACACCACACTCGAGTTCAATTCTTGACTATCTACTGGTTTCGAAATGTATGATTAAAAGTGTATTAAGAATGGGAATAGACTCAGACGTTGAATTACTCTCAGGAAGTGACCATGTGGCAATTCGTTTTGATTTATGTATAACGGGCAACTTAAACACAAAAAAGGCAGAATACAACGGGATCTTTTTATCTGATAGACGTGACATGAAGATAGCGCAGAAGGAAATGGATCAATTGATGGATAAAATTGAATGGGACAATTTGAGTTTAAATGAATGGGGCGAGGTAATGCAAAATATCTTAATTAAGGCAAATGTTGATTCATACAATACTGGTCCTCGTAAAAAAACTAAACCCAGATCTACATTTAGATTGAAAAGACTTAAAGCAAGAAAGAAAGAATTGGAAAGGAAAGAAAAAAGACTATCTTTAACAAAAATTAAACGTGCATTAGCTAATGAAATATGGACAATTGAAGATCAGAATGAATTAAATGTTGCAGCACAAGAGAATCAAGCAATTCTTGAAGAAGTGAATAAACGAAGTCTGGAATTGAAATGCAAAAAGACCAATTTGTTAAGAATGCAATCAAATATTAAAAATGAACAATTTTGGAGATTAGCAAGAAAGACAACTAAGAAAAAAGGGGGTTTATCCATTATTAAAGGGCCGGACGGGAAAATTGAAACAGAACGGGATAAACTGGCGGATCTGGCAATAACTGAGCTGGCGAAAGTGTTTATAGGTCAAAAAAGTCCAATCTTTGAATCACATGGTCAATAAACAGGCCTATTTATTTAATGACTTACTAGTTATGCCACAAAATCACCGAGGGAAATGGTCAGAATTAAACACTTTTTAAGCCAGGAAAAAACCACGATATTTTAAAAAATGTTGAACAGCTAAAAGCTTAAATGGTACAGTTGTGATTCGGGCATGGTTCTCCTTAAAATTAAATGAAGGGTCATTGAAATTAAAAAGACAGTCCCTTTAATCACTCTACAAGTGCTGTAATATCTCAAATAGGCATCACAGATTAGCATTACCTCATCGTGCTGGAAAAGTTGGATCGGAAAATTTGATGATTTCCTGCTGGATCTCTGATAAAACAACAGCTGCTGGGTAGATCTAAAATACAGAAAATTTGATGATTTCCTGCTGGATCTCTGATAAAACAACAGCTGCTGGGTTGACCTATAAAATATAGAAAATTTTAAGACTTCCTGCTGGATCTCTGATAAAACAACAGCTGCTGGGTTGATCTATAAAATATAGAATATTTGATGATTTCCTGCTTGATCTCTGATATAACAACAGCTGCTGGGTTGATCTAAAATATAGAAAATTTGAAGATTTCCTGCTGGATCTCTGATAAAACAACAGCTGCTGGGTTGATCTGAAATATAGAAAATTTGATGATTTCCTGCTGGATCTCTGATAAAACAACAGCTGCTGGGTTGATCTATAAAATATAGAAAATTTGAAGATTTCCTGCTTGATCTCTGATAAAACACTAGCTGCTGGGTTGATCTATAAAATATAGAAAATTTAAAGATTTCCTGCTCGATCTCTGATAAAACACTAGCTGCTGGGTTGATCTATAAAATATAGAAAATTTGAAGATTTCCTGCTTGATCTCTGATAAAACAACAGCTGCTGGGTTGATCTAAAATAAAGACAATCTGATGATTTCCTGCTTGATCTCTGATAAAACAGCTGCTGAATTGATCTAAAATGAAGACAATCTGATGATTTCCTGCTGGATCTCTGATAAAACACCAGCTGCTGGGTTGATCTATAATAAAGAAAACTAAAGGGACTTAGTAACAATGAATTGAATTGAAAAATTAAAAATTAAATTCCGTCAATTTCAGTTTTTGTCTTCGTTGCATAATTTTGCAAATGACTCGTAAACGTGGAGACGGCGCAAATTTTGAATTTTTTGAGTAAAAGGATTATTCTGTCATAAAAAGGATAGCGCGTAATATTCTTTAAATAGAGACTAGAGAGTCAATTAAAATTTGGCCGATATTCGGAAAAAATAATGTCAAAATAGAAAATTTAGACATCAAAAGGCAAGTTTTTTTTTTAAATATTTAAAAATATTTTTATATTTTTTCCCCAAAATTTAATTTATTTTCCCTAAAATTCGCTTATTTTTCCCGATTCAGCGAAAAACCTTAAACGCTTTTTTTGCACTCCGCCTAAACATTGCTAACTTCTAGGGAACTCAAAAAAATATTTTCAAAATGAGGGGGAGGGTAATGATTTTTTAAGGAGAATTGGTTGAATCTAACCTGTCAGTTGCTAGAACCAGCTCCTTCCCCTGACCTCGCAGAGGATGCCCTTGATCACCCTGAACAAATATCAGGTTAAAGTCTAGTCTTACAGTGATTGGCTATTATATAAATACAATGAATACGATTTTTCTATTTAAGTTTTGATTGTTAACAAACTTTTTTTTTATTTTACAAGTGATCAAAGAGAAGCATTTTTAATTGACAGCTTCTCTTGACTTCTAAGCTGTTTGCATGTTCAGAAGATTACGAAAAAATCCTTGTTTTTCTGTCTTCTGATTCATAGAAAGTGATTCTGATTCATAGAAAGTGATTTTGATTCATGCAACAGAGAGAAGGAATAAAATTAATCGAACTCAACACGTTTCCTATTTTTAAACCTAAAACATTACATCAGGCCCGTAGCGAGGATAGATGGCACATCCCTCAGATAAATCGTTACGTGGCACAGCCCTCACATAAACCGTTACGTGGCACAGCCCTCACATAAATCGTTACGTGGCACAGCCCTCACATAAATCGTTACGTGGCACAGCCCTCACATAAATCGTTACGTGGCACAGCCCTCACATAAATCGTTACGTGGCACAGCCCTCACATAAATCGNACTTTCCCCACCAAAAATATCAATAAAAACGCCGTAGAATTTTTTTTATAATAATTCATACAGAGTTTTCCACACAGGATAAGACTGTGCGGAATCTATACTGTTTTGCTTCCTTAGTTTCACGAATCTCCGCAACTGTAAACATAGTTTTCTTTTGCAAATTACTTAATAAGCCATAAACTATTAAATAACTATATTCGAGGAAGAAGACGTAATTTAACCTTGGTATTATCATAGTTTATGAGATTCAGGTCGTCTTTACAGTCTCATCCTTTATGGGTAACCCTGTGTGAAATATTTTATCAAATTATTGAATACCTTGATATAAATGGAGGACATTATTGAATGCTTATCTTTTGCCAGATTCTCCTTGTGTGCGTTTAGGTATGGAGCCAGGTTCAGGTTGGATATCAGGTCTCCTAAAATAGGTTTAGGTTGGATATAAAATATCCTAAGAAAGGTTTAAAGGAGGAATATTAGACATATTGAAATAGGTTTGAAGAATGGAAATCAGATATCGTAAAATATATTTACAGGATGGATATCAGATATCCTGAAATAGGTTTAGGTTAACTATCAAATATCATAAAAAAGGCTCAGGTTGAAGGTTTAGGTCAGATATCAGATATTCCAATATAGGTTCAATTCAAGGAAAGTAGTTGTAAATAATCAATTCAAACTTTCGGCCAAAGAAATTGAGTTTTTGCCACAAACTCAGATTTTCTAATTTTTAGCATTTCCTAGACCTTTGATATTTCAAGCTATTAATTCTGGTAGATCAAATAGTCTTAGTTTAAAATATCAAAGGTTGCAAAGATATAGGGGTTAGAAAAATTTATGTTTGTTGCAAAAACTCAATTCCTTTATTGTGTCCTTTAAATAATTATACTATTCCATTTCATTTCATTCCATTTTTTCTTCAAATTTTAGACGAGAAGTCTTTTTCTATTTTAGACGAGAAGTTTTACATTCAAAACGTCATTATGTCAGATTCTATGTCAAATTCCAGATCTCAGAATTAATAGATGTTACTAGTCTAAATTTAAATTTACTATAAAATAGAGAGTAAAATGCGAGAAGCATTTTGTAAATGTGTGTTTTTTTATTTTACATTCTCCATACATAGATTTGTAACATTTTTGTTCCATGAAAAATTGAAAGAGAAAATACTATTTAGATTGATCCAAAATATGTACATTCTCTGTTCATCTATATAAACTTTGCTTGTTTAAATGTTTGTTTGTCCGTTTGTATCCAAAAAAACTTCAAAACAGCTGAACCGATCGGGCCCAAATTTTGTGCGAGACATCACATGACCCCAGGGAAGGTTTATGAATGATCGAATTTTCAAAAATTTGTCTATAACAAAGTTTCATTTTTGAAAATTAGAGGAATTGACGAAATTTTTTTTTTAATCTGAGAATTATTTCGTTTTGTTTTACATTGTATACAAAGAGAAAATGTTTACAAATGAAATATAAGATGGGCGCCTAAAAGCCTAGTTTCTGGGAAATAATACAGGACATTACGTTTGCGATGGGAGACGGTGAGGTGAGGGGGTTATTGATAAAGAGGAGGAGAGGGGGAGGCGAATACGGGGGACTGCGGGGGAGGGGTTAGAGGTGCCGCCAGGGCTGTGGAAGGGTGGATTACGTAATATACGGACAGCACTTTGATAAGTCTTGCGGTCAAGTCCCCCCTTGCCCCCTTCCCCCTCGTCACACCTGGATTACAATCTTAATCCTTCGAACCCAGCGGTCAACTGGGTATATAAACAGCTAGTCTAAGATCCACCAGTACTTAACCCTACTCTGAGCTACAATGAAGATCTACGTCCTACTCCTGGTTGTCTCCCTAATCGGAGCTGAAGGCGGAGAACATGAGAACTACTGCACAGATCTACTTGACTTCGGACCTAGAGAAGAAGTCCAGGAAGAACGGCTTCAATGCCACACTGTGCTCAGGACAGTGTGTGAAGAAGTAGAACAAAAAGACTGCTTAGAGGTAATTTTCTTTTTAAATTGTTCTTTTAGTTTGTCCCTTTTATATAAAGTAAGGTTCACGTTAGAGACAAATAAAATGTTTCTTTCCCAAGAGCTATTTAAAAAAAGTATTTAAAATATTCTTGGAGATAATTAAATAATCAAAATAAAATGTGTTTCTTTCATTGCGTCAGTTAAAACTTTTTTATTAGATTTCAATTAATAAATTAGTAAAAAAACATTTAAAGAAAAATCAGTTTGAACTTTCGTTACTTTAGAAATGTTGCTTAACTTATGAGTAATATAATTCTTAAGTTTAATTGAAGACGACTGCATCTTTTGTAAGTTTGAACTAAATTCTCAATATTATAACTTTATTAATACCTAACTTAATAATCAGCTAATTTCCAATTCTTTCCCATTTTAATTTCCTATTCATAATAATAATAAAAACCATAAAAAATATTAATAATATTAATTAAAGTAAATAATTAAACAATAATTTAGTTATGTAGTTTAACAGTTAAACAATCTAATAACTAAACAGTCAAGTAATCAAAATAATCCATAGAATAAGCAAAATAGTAATTAAATAATTCAGTAAATAATTAAAAAACTCAAACTTAATAACTCAATAACTCATTAACTAATAGTTTAATAACTTAATAACTTAATAACTTAATAACTTAATAACTTAATAATCAATTTTTCAATAATATAATAATATAATAATATAATAATTCAATAATTCAATAATTCAATAATTCAATAATTCAATAATTCAATAATTCAATAATTCAATAACTCAATAACTCAATAATTCAAGCATTAACTCATTAACTCATTCTCATTAATTCATTAACTCATTCTCATTAACTCATTCTCATTAACTCATTAACTCATTAACTCATTAACTCATAAAATCATTTGATCATTGAATAATCAAATAATTATAATATCAAAAAATCAAATTAATAAAACAAACAGTAAAATATTTATTGTTTAGGTTTGTGAGCAAACTTGTGAGGTAACCCTAGTCCCCTCATGTAAACTAACCCCTGGGTCACTAGAGGCCATTAGGTCCACCGTCAACCTTTCTGAGGTCATGCTCCACACCTGCAGTAAGGAGGAGGCCAGGGAGCTCCACACTATGACGGTCTACGAGTGCGAGAACGTAACGAAAACCCACTGCACCACCCTTTGGGACATCGACGAGAACGGGGAGAAGGTTTGGGCCGGAAATGATGGAGATTGCAAAGATGTTACGTGGGAGGAATGTCATCCGGTCCCTAAGGAAGTCCCAGTTCTAGTCCCCTACATGAACTGTACCGAATACCCGGTCAACTTTGTCGACGTTGTCAACGCGACAACCGAGCTACCAACCTCAGAGTTCGACTGCGAAGTACGACCGATTCAAGAATGTAAATCTAAAACGTCGACGAAATGTGGTTCCGTAACCTACCAGAAATGTTCCGAAGTTCCTGAATTAGTTTGCGATCCGATTACAATCATTGTTCCAAAGCAAGAACAGCTGCATAAAAAATGGTGCCAATTCGACCAGGCTGAGAATATAGATTTCAATCTTGAAGTCAAGAAAATCCTCGAAAAAGTGGAGGAATAATAATCCGCAAACATTAAGTCAGGAGAAGAATATATTTTCATATATAACAGATAAAATAATATTTAGCTAGAAATAAATTTTTAAAATTATAAATTTTTTCACTTAACAAATCGTTTAAAATTAGTATTATGCAGTGGCCAGAAACTCGAGTTGTTCAATTGATATTGTTAAACAAAATTCCTTTCTCCTTAATTTATTTTGCTGAAAAGTGTGACTTAATAACACCAAAAAGTCTTAGATATAAATTGCGCATACCCAATTCCAGGTTAAGATGAATAAATATTTACTAATTTCCTAAGATTTTTCCTGTTGACGGAGGGGGGGAGGTTTTGCCGGCATTTCCTAAGATATTACCTGATACAAGAATAAAATCATTTCGTAGAACTCCTTTCTCATACAAATCTCTCATTCCATCCCCGAAAGATCTAAAATTATCAATATCAGATTTATTATCATTAAAGAAAACTATATAAAACAAAAACTTCTTAATTTATTAAAAACATTATTTTAAAGACTTTAAAAATCAAAAAATAAGTATAATTGAAAACATTGAAAAGCATATTACTGTGCTATAATTTTTGATAATTTTAAGCATAGAGAGTAGATATGTTTAAGTGGAAAGACCTGCACTCCTCGTTTGTAATACAAGTAACAGAGAAAGGTGCAGCATGGTAGGATTCACTCCACTCTGATCCTTTCAACCAATCCTTTACCTAGAATATATACACAATAATGTGATAATCATAAAGCTCTGAAATAGGAAGATGACTTTCCGGCTCAATTTATGACTTTAAATAGTCCAATGAACATCAGGCACACCACGTGTGTAGTGTTAAACAGGCCTATTTATTTAATGACTTACTAGTTTGTAACAACATCAAATGCACTTCAGTATTGCTTTAATTATAAATATAGTCTTCCTATTGAACAGTTTTCTGGTTATCACTATAGTATTGTATAGTAAAGGAGTAGGATTCACTCCGTTCAGATTCTTTCAACTAATCCTTCACCTAGTATTCTATAGTAGTAAAGGAGTAGGATTCACTCCATTCAGATTCTTTCAACTAATCCTTCACCTAGTATACTATAGTAGTAAAGGAGTGGGATTCACTCCAATCCTTTCCACTGGTTACTTATCCTTCACCTAGTATAGAATAAAAATAAAGGATTTGGATAAGATTAACTCTGATCCTTTCTACCAACAGGAGTTTTCCAAAATAGTTTTTTTTTAAATCAAAACATTTACCCAAAAAAGACCAATTTTGACTGCAAGAGGATACATTTATGTATCTAATATTGTTACTCAAACTTTAAAGGATGATACTTCAATGACTAGAACTCTTCAATCAAATACATTTTTAAGAATTTAACCCTTCTTCCAAAATGTCATTAAGAACGAAAAAGTAATTTTTTTTCTGAAAAGTCTCGAAAACAAAACCAAGGGAAGTAATGAATGAAAAGTTACATTAAAGAGGTAAATTGGTGTAGTTGATTTAGACATGAGCAAAAGTGCAATTCTGATTATAAGAGCAGAAGCTGACAGTGATAGGTGGGCATTTTAATCTAAATATAACACAAAGAAATTAAACGAGAGGGACCAGTGACACTCATTTATTTAAGTTTTTTAATCCTTTTTGTTTATTAGGTATCTGTTATTGTAAAATTTCAAAACATTTACGTGAATTCAAAGATAGGAATTTCTTTTACTTTTCATTTAATCTCGATATCAATTTTTAGCTCAAGTCAAAAAAAAAAATATTGCTAAAAACCTATATTTGGTCTCCATTGACCGTAATTATTATTTAGATCTTAAAAATATTCATAACTATATAAAACCAAACTATGATGCGAGATCTTTAGTACCTTAAATACCGGTTTTTTTGGGACAGTTACCAATGTAAAGTGTACAATGTACAATGTGCAGTACTGTACACTGTACATATTTACCTTGATTGAGTTGCTTGTAAGATAAAGAACAACATCCTGTACACCACTCCGTGACAGGCTCTAAAAAAATAATCTTTTTATGTTCACTTCATGATTACACTTTTCTGCTTTATTTTGACAAAAATCTTTAAATTGTAGTTTATATTTAGAAGATAAAATACAAATTTTAAAATCATCGGATTTTGCCTACAGAGGTCAGCCTGCAAGAGAACTGCAAACAGAGGTCAGCCTGCAAGAGAACTGCAAACGCCAGAAATTAGCGGAATCCGCTAGATTTTACCTGCAGGGTGTATTCAATTAGCGGATTCCGCTAGATTTTACCTGCAGGGTGTATTCAATTAGTGGACGTCCAGCTAGCGGAAGCAGACATGATGGTTCACTGGAAGTTAGAGGCTGGAAGCTAAAAATGAACGAAAAAATACATAAATAAGTTAAAATTAAATTTAATCACCCAGTGGCCGAATTTAAAGAATTTGAGCGGCGGTTTAAATTTAAGCCGCGGTTTAAATATGGTTTGTTCCACTTAAAATTGTATCAAATGTTTCAAGATTTAAGCCGGCACTAAATTTAAACCGGGTTTTGGCGGATTTAAACCGCGGCTCAAATTCTTTAAATTCCATCTCAGATTATGTAAAAATATGATTATACTTGAAATTATTATTTTTGATTGCAAACCATATTCTTCGACTAACCTCGTGTTAAAATTATCAGCGAATACAACAGCCTGAACCAAATCTTCTTTTTTTATTTCTTCTTTTCTTCCCATTTTATCTAAAATGTATCAAATACCTTTATCTATGAATCAGGAAAAAGAAAGTAAGTTTATTAGGGAAGTCACTTTAAAAAGTCGACAAAAATAAACATTGTCAAATTTTTCTTAAATGGGATAATTTCAATTTGAAAAAAATTAAGAACATTTTTTAAACTTTTTGCTATTTTTATCCCTTTCACCTTTTCGATTGAATTTTTTATTCTAAATTTAGTGGTTTGTTTGTTGCCTTATTTAAATTGTTGTCATTTGTCATATATCAAATCAAATCAAATCAAATCAAATCAAATCAAATATATATATATTTGTCCCAAGCCAAAAAACATAGGAAATATCTTTTTTTAAAACATATTTATAAACTTGAGACGGGGAGGCATTGATAGCCAGGGGCTGTTTATATAATTTTCAATGTGAATTATTTTGAAAAATTATTTCGAATTTTAGACTAGAAAGAATCAACAGATCGTCAATTATTTTTAAACAGATATTCAATAACTTACATACAGGGTTTTTTGTAATAATTTCATTCATAATGTCCATTTCACAACGGTAACCCTTAAACCACTATCTGACCAATAATGTGGAAGAAATCGTTGTTTTACTAGGGTTTTACACAGGGTTTTAGGAACCAGGAAAGAGATGAACAATCCCTTTATCCAGGGAATAGGTAATAATCCCTTTATCCAGGGAATAGGTAATAATCCCTTTATCCAGGGAATAGGTAATAATCTCTTTATCCAGGGAATATGTAATAATCCCTTTATCCAGGGAATAGGTAATAATCCCTTTATCCAGGGAATAGGTAATAATCCCTTTATACAGGGAATAGGTAATAATCCCTTTATCCAGGGAATAGGTAATAATCTCTTTATCCAGGGAATATGTAATAATCCCTCTATCCAGGGAATAGGTAATAATCCCTTTATCCAGAGAATAGGTAATAATCCCTTTAATCAGGGAATAAGTTCCTTCAAATATCATGCAAATGTGCTTAGGACACTTGAAGCTTTATACTTTTGTTGGAATACAATAGTGAAAACCATGCTGCTCCATAATATAAATATATTTATGTATCCCTGGATATCCCCTTGAATGAAGGTCTATACTGCTCCATAATGTTAATATATGTATCCCTGGATATCCCCTTGAATGAAGGTCTGTACTGCTCCATAATATTTAGATATGTATCTCTGGATAGTGAATATACTTTGAATGCAGGTCTATACTGCTTCATAATATTTAGATATGTATCCCTGGATAGTGAATATACCTTGAATGCAGGTCTATACTGGTCCATAAAAGAGATATAAGTATTCCTAGATATCCCCTTGAATATAAACTCTAAAATATTCCGACCCTCCAAAACTAGTCTTGGAATCAGGGGACTTAATCTTCAATTCTAATTTTAAATAAATATGTTCTTCTGTATTAGTTGTCCATAGAAGATTTCTTCATCTCATCAGCTTGTGGACGGGTTACATCCCAGTTCTATTTTAAATTAATAATCTGGTAAATTATGGATCCAATGAACCAGGCAAGAAAAACCTCCTTTGAACTATCGGATAAAATACCTAAAATGATCATCCTGGGACAGTGTGGCTAATTACCAAGTAGTATGATTAAAAAATATTTTCTTTTATAAAACAAAATGTGCGTATTTTTTTGGCGTAACATAATATAATATTGGACGCTTTGTAGGAAAGGTTGCCGGAAGTAATAAAAAATCTTTAAAAATTAATTAATAAATTTTTGAAATCCATTTCGTTTATCTTCCTCTCTTCTTGCAAATCTATTAACTTTATTATATTATTTTTCTTTGGTAAACTTTTTCTGTATGTCCCATTCAGATTAAAAAATACCTGAACCGCTGCTTATGACTCAAGTGTGAAAAAACTTAGTTCATATTTTCTGAAAAATGCATTCTTCGCTGTAATCTGCTAACAGGAAACATTTTTTGGTACAATTTATGGATTCCAAGAGAAAAATCTTTGAAGAAAATCATTTCATTGAGATCGAAAGATTATCAAAAAATTAGTGAAATTGAAAAAAATATTTTCATATTTAGAAAAGTTTTGAATATTTATTACAATGAATATTTGAAACGTATGATTATTACACGATTACAACACGTGAACAAGTAACATTGATACAAAATATATGGATGAAAATGAAGATGGATGATGATGATTTAGGACAATTGGCAGAGTGTCAAAGATTTATGGGTAATAGGCTTTGGGAGTAGGTCAATGCTGAGATTAAGGGAGTAGGTTGGGATTAGGAAGTAGGTTGGGATTAGGAAGTAGGTTGGGATTAGGGAGTAGCTATGAGTATAGGGGATTAGGTTCAGAAATTGGTCGAGGTATGAAGAATGAATGGAGTTGATGAAGAAGGGATAAAATGGATGGAGTTAACGAAAAACGGATGAAGTTGATGAAGTTGATGAAGTTGGAGTAAAAGGAGTTGATGATAAAAAACAAATGGAGTGGATAAAGAACGGAGAATCGGTGAAAATGATTGATTGATTGATGATTGCTCAGTTGAGATTGGCAGCTTCACAGGCATCAATCCAATCGTTGTAAACATCTAACGGTTCAGACAAGAAATTTATTGTCGCCTAAAATAATAAAAATACAGGAATATACATTTATCACATTTTTTCCCCACAAAAAAAAAAATCAAATAAACATTTAACATACCTAACATTTGGGGGGTGAGGGGGGGGGGGAATTGTTCAATTAACAAAATATTTTCTAAATATCATAAATGAATCACCTACTTGGACTTGGTTTATTTAATTTATTCTGGGTTATTTATTTTCTCAAAAAATAATTTTTCTCCTCTCCAAGGGTTGTGTAATTCTGACAAATATACACCCCTGATTATAATAAATATACACCCCTGATTATGACAAATATACACCCCTGATTATGACAAATAAACACCCCTGATTTTGACAAATATACACCCCTGATTTTAACAAATATACACCCCTGATTATGACAAATATACACCCATGATTATGACAAAACACCCCTGATTATGACAAATATACACCCCTGATTATAACAAATATACGCCCCTGATTATAACAAATATACACCCCTGATTATGACAAATAAACACCCCTGATTATAACAAATATACACCCTTGACTATGACAAATGTTCACCCCTGATTATAACAAATATACACCCCTGATTATGATAAATATACACCCCTGATTATGACAAATATAAACCCCTGATTATAACAAATATACACCCCTGATTATGACAAATATACACCCCTGATTATAACAAATATACACCCCTGATTATGACAAATATACACCCCTGATTATAACAAATATACACCCCTGATTATAACAAATATACACCCCTGATTATGACAAATATACACCCCTGATTATGAATTTAGGAATCTTCATTTACCTGATAGTCTTCCATACAGATTGTACACTGAATTTTAGCAGCGTTCTTTGTCTTATCCATCTTCACCTGAAACACAGAAATTATAGACAGCCCCTTTTTTTGCATTTACATTTTTTCATTTTCTTTTTTTATTTAAGTGGTTTGTTTTTGTGAATTTTTAGATTTCAAGGGACTCGACAGTGGACAAAATTTCAAGTGATCCTCCATTTAAAAAGTTCTAATTGTACAACATGTAAAATTTATGACAACAAAATAATTAATTTTTTTCAAACTAAAAAAACTAGTCAAAACAAAATTGGTTAATTATTTGGGACAATTTGTCCCTTTTGGAGCCGGGAAATTCGTCTTTATTTGATCTATGATCTAACTGTGCAGGTATTCACTGTTTGTCATTGTAATTTAAACATATTTGTCTTAATGTTATACAATGTTTAAATGTCTTTCTATCAATCTAAAGGTTTATTTTGGTCTCGGGTCTCAAAAAATGGATTTTACAGGTTACAAAATGTTTTAGCCACAGTGGTCTCTGAATTCTTTAATTGTTCTGGTCCTCAATTGCATAAAATAACCCATTTTAAAAGACGTAACATTGATATAATTCCCAAGTGAGGACGCATGTCGTGTGGAACAAGGACGCACATACATACCAAGCAGCTAATTGAATTGATCTACCTCGCATGATTTCTCGTGATTACAGAATGGACAATTGAACATTGTGTCCAGGGGTTCAATATTCTTCTTCTTAGGCCCGGGCTTCCTCTTAGACTTTCGTCGTCCCATTTAGTATTTTTATTTCTGAAACCAGAAGCATTTAAACAAACAGAAAAAAATAAGGGTTCGTAAAAAAGAGTGTATTTTCACGTTTTTAGGAACTTCTCAGATGAGATTATTTTTTGGTTTTTATGACTTTTATGACAAGTTAAGAACTGGTTTTCATAAATCATATTTACATTACTGAGAGGAGTTTCATGTTTCTTCAAAGGAAAAAAACACGAGACCCCCCAAAATACTATTACAGCATAAAAAAAATATTATAAAATAAAACATATTTTTATTATTATGGTTAAGTAGATGCACTTAATAATCCTGGAAAAACGTTTGCAAAGATATTAACGGGACTTAAATTAAGTTTCATTAAGAGATGGACTTGCCTGATTCTAAAGATGTCCTTTAAACCTTTCTTAGATCATTAACGACGGAGATTAAAAATGGTGTTTTCGAAAACTGTTGAGTGTACGCTACCGTTCAGTGTGAACTTATAGTCCCTTTTATTTCCTTAATCATTAGTCCAAAGGGTGAATATTAATTAACATTCCACGAATGTGAGTCGACGACGTCAAAAAATTAAAGGATTGGCCTCCAAAAAAAAGTCTATTCATTTATGGAACATTAAAATATTCACCTTTGGCTTTACCATCAGTTTTTTTAATATGTTATTTATGCTAAAAAAAGGACAAATTTATTTATGAATCATAATAGAAGTGCGTATGAAATAAAAAATTTATCAGTCATAACAAAAATCCATGAAACTTTTTTAATTCAGCTTTAGCTACATAACTGTTATTTAGAAGATTTTATGAGTTAATTTGTCCCATATTACAGATCTTTATAAAAGCTTGAAACTGAGAGGAACTCATCATAATTAATTCTGTAAAATTCCACCAAAAACGACATGGTAAGTTTTGAGCCTTGGCCCTTAACATTTTATTGTCCAGGCAGAGATAATTTAAACATGATGAGGTTAGTTTTTTACAATAATAACCCTTTAGTTTCAAATTTGAGTATAAAAGTGTACTCGCTACATTCGAAAAAACAAGTTTTTTATCTAATATCACAACATTTTGAGAAAATTTAGCTAGTTTGTAAAATTTAACAATTGTTCTGTAGAAAACATATAAATATAGACATTGGACAAGTGACAGCAAAAGCAGGTTTAAAACACAGGGAACGAAAAATACGAACGGTTAAGGCCCAAACTTGACACTCAGTGTTAGGCCAAAACACGGTATGAAGCTTCCCTGTAATAAACCTAAGGCTAGAGTACCGGGAGTGTTGATTTAGTGGTGTAATGTTAACATTCCAACCCGTGGCGAAAACATGTTCATTTCAATTTTTACTTTTTTCTTCAATAATTGGCTGTTTTCCACCTATTACAGCTAAAATGTAAAAATTAACAAATTACTTTAACAAATGGCTAAAATGGAAAAGAGAACTGTGGCCAATTGTGACGATTTTACAATAAAAATTAATAAATAATGAAGAACGCAGGAATGAGAATTATAAAATTCAAAATCAAATCAACAAAATATTAGATTTTGTTCAGATCACAAATATTGCGAATAGTACGCACAAATTAAGCTCCTCTCCAATCCTGGAGAGGACTTAACAAAAAAAAAATTGTCTAATGCTGCGAAAAGAAGCTGCCCTTCCAGCAGAGGTCAGTAAATCGCTGACAAGTGAGGTGTCGGCTAAAATAAGTAAGAATGCTGACATGCTTCCATTGAGATATTTCTCAGCAGCACCAAGTCACGTCAATTATTGAATCTTGTTGTTTACAATAGATAATTTCAATTCAAAGATCGTCAGCGCGGCGTTGCTGTGAGTCTGAAGATCGTCGGCATTCTCGCTGGCAATCTACATATCGTCAGAATTCTCGCTGTTGTCTTGGAATAGTAAGCACTAAGCATTCTTGCTGTCAGTCTAAAAATCGTCAGCATCTTCGCTGTCAGCGTTTATTGAGACAACTGTGGCAGCAGGAGTAGATTTCTTCTTCTAAACAATATATAATATAAATGTTCGATTTCTGAGTTTTACTAATATTTCAATGTAATTATTAATTCTCTTATTTTAGAATTGTCCTTTCTGCCCCCCCCCCC